CAGCTTGTCTTAATGCCAATTATGATAGCGTAATTCTACCACAGAACTGCCCTGATGTGGGAATCCTTGTGCTATTTCAGCTATCTGAGCTGAAAGTAATACTTTGAGCATATGAGCCAGATTGAATGTAGTCATACACAGATAAGAGTGTTTTCTCCTACTGTCAAACATGAGTCCTCCGAGATTCCAGCTTTTTTTGTAGTCACTTTACTCCCTTGAACGAGTGATATCTTAACTACCAGTTTAAAGCACAAGTATCAAAGGAAGCCAGTGATAATATGAAGTGTCACCAAATGAGAAATTAATCTGTGTCTACAGAGATGTGCTCTGCACGCCCAAGGTATTGTGATAAAATGCATTTGAGAACTGATTCTTCTGCAAGGGAAGATATTTTTTATACGCCAAACACTTTTATTATATGTGAAGAGTTTTGATAAGACAACTGCACCATGTCCCCTGAAAGCTTGGTTTATTGACATTTATAGCAGTACTTGCTGTGTGAGGAACAAATTGCAGAGCTATTTTTCAAGTTGTCTTCAGATCCTGGAGACGTACTGAAAGATAAGGGAGACTCATGAAACCATGGGGGAAGAAGATGCAGTAAGCATGCTTCAGTCTTTCTCTGCAATGTGAGCGGAAGTCCCTGCTGGACTGTGCCCACATCTCAATACAATCAGTTCTCTTCTGCTATTGCAAACCTGCCCTTGGGTTCTTTCTCAGAGCAAGCAGAATTACACTGAACGAAGATTATGCAAAAAGCAATGGTCAAAGCCAACTGGTTTAATATAAAAAAATGCAAATTTCTCACCGTTATTGGCTTGTTAGCACTTTGCAGGCCTGTATTTTGGTGATAGTCACAGTATGAAACCTGGGTAGGTTAAGTGCAGCTCCCACTTCTAGCTATAGAGCTGGAGAGAGATGGCCCATGCTAAGGGATAAAACAGGATCTAGAGAGACACAAAACTATTCAATCTTGTATTCCTGAATCTCAATCTAAATTGTAGTTATTACTGTAATTCTGTGGTATGCAGTTAACATGAGAAACCGTTAATTTCACAGTTTTATATCTGTTAATAAATTGCAGCAGCCCAAACGATGATATGTATAATAAATAGTAGCATTTACTGTAATTACAGCACAGTAAAATATAATAAATGCACAAAGTAGTGAGGGTTTCTTTTTAAACTCCTGATGTATTTTCTTCTTCCTCCTTCTCAGTAACGTGTTCACAGATAAAATAGTTGAGACATCATCTGTTGGGAAATAGGTGGACTTGCATGTGTTCAGCTGACTCTTGGGTTTCTACTACAGCATTTCCACCAATGACTTTCATTTCAGACACAGAGGTGTGAAGAGTCAAGGAGAATCTGTTGCTTTGAGTAATTCAAAGCAATCACTGTGTAATGTCAGTAGTGTTATTCATGATTCTTGTGGGAGTGTGAACAAGTTGAGAGTTCTTTTGTACAAAGATTACATTCTTGTAGATGTTGTGTTAGGATATATGCAATTAAAACTACAACTAAGTTATATCTGGAAGGAAGATGCCTCAATGGTTTATTTTTAGGTATGTCAGAAATATTTTCTATTAGTTTGGCTGGGTAATTAAGTGCATATAGTGAAATTAAAGGAAGGAGAGAAAGAAGGGAACCTGTTCAAATGCTACAGGCAATGGAGTATGTAAGGAATGTCCCAGCATCCCCATTTAAACTTTCTATTTAAAAAAACCCAAACAAACAACAAAACAAAACATACAGTATAAATAGAAACAACACAACTTCCAGAATCTCAGAGCCTGAATATCCTCTTGCAGCAGTTTTGAAGCAGGACTTTTCTGCCATTGTAGAGCAGTGAGTAACACCTGATTTGTACCACCTGGAAAGCAAACCAGGCTGTCTGCTTTGTATCAGCATGGAGGATAGTGCATTCTGGAGTCAAAGCATCATCCAGGTAAAGGTGTGAAGGGGAGTTAATTGGAGAAACAGCCTAAGAAAGAAGATCAAAGGCTTTTCTTAGAAGCAGGACATTATCCATGTAGTCTTAACCTACTCGTAAAATTAAAAAGAATGCGTATAAGCCTTACCCTTTGGTGGGCAAGTCCTGCTACTTTCACCAAGTCTGCATGTGCAGACAGGTTGAGAAGGGCCTGCTTTGTGCAGAGGTCAGTTCAAGAACGATACATTGCTTTAATCCTGCTCACGCTCTCAACAGGGACCTTCAGTGAGATGCATGGTGCATTGGCCTTGTGCTGGCTCTCTGCCCAGGGGCAAATCCCTTTCCAAGCGAGTGACATTAGATTGTCAACAAGATATGTCACTCAACAAAAGCCTGTGGCATATTTTCTTATTTCTCTTGCACAGGAACAAAATCAGACTGCAGAGTTCATTTGATATGAGATCAGCTTCAATCACTCAGATTAATAAATAACATTTACCTGTAATTTTTCTTCATGTATTTCTCTAGAGGATTAATAATGTGGATTTTTTTCTGTAGGAAGAGCAGATGCCTGTTTAGCACAGGTGCATTTCTGACACTCTGGGAAGTGCTGGTGACCTGCATTTACAGTAAATACAGAAAAGAGGTCTGGCAGCAGGGAACAGTACATTTGCATGACAGAACTGAAATGTAACCCTGCCTTTTGAACATGGCTAGACTTCTGGCAAGGTCATGGAGAGTTGTGAAATGATCTGTCACCTGAGACCTCCGAGAGGCATGCTTCCATTTCCTTACAGGAATACTGCCAAAGAGCAGTGTTTTAAATCTAACGGTGACACAAATCAAATGTCCTTTTCGTGCTTCAGGTATTTGCTTAGAGGCCAAGATCCTCTTTTTTTTAAGAAAACTTTTAAGTCCTGGCCTACCTTAGTGCTACAGTGAATGAGCTGTTTTCATTTAAGCATTAATTTCTGAAAATGTTTCTACTGGACAACAGAGTTTATAGTACAAGTGATATTGAAAAGCCCATACTGTTCAACCATTTTCAAAGACTTTTTTAAAAGGCAGAAAGGCTCTCTTGATTATTTGATCTGAAATGAGTTGTACATACCATGGGGCATTCCCCAGTAATTCTTAGGCCTCACACCCATACCTTCCATCTGAGCTACGGCACATATTTTTGAAAGACGTTTAGTTGTGACTGGAAAAGATCTCAACCTCTCATGAAATGCATTAGCTAGCTCTTAGGTAATGCTACAAAACCTTCCGCTTAAACACCAGCTCTTGGTAGGCAGTGCTAGTGATGGAGGTGAAAGTAGATGGATAGTTGCCCTGGCTTTTGAGACATATTGGTGCTGATCTTGCCCACGGCATAAACCAGAGTCTGGGATTGTTCTAGCTCATGTCTGTCTGGAACAGTTTGCCTGTACGTTCATCATACTTTGAAGATTGCTATTGTTTTTTGAAGCTGCAGAATAGGCCAGCAAAGATACAAAGGCTGACTTGAAAATGCACGCTGACATCATTGCTGCCGGTTCCTGACTCAGCAGAGACATAGATGTGTTTCTCAGAGTGGAGGATGTTGTTGCAGTTATTCATGCTTCTGAGGCAGTTTGGCATGAAAGACTGAACAGGGCAGAAACTTTCACTTTGAGCAAAAGAACAGTTTTAATAGAGACTACATGCCTGTACCTTTTCACATCTGTCCCTTCCCACAGCTCTCCCAGACCAAATGTTCAACTCCCCAAACTGTTGGTGGCAAAAAAAGCAAATTCAGTTAACTGTGAAGATGTGTTTTCAGAAAAAATTGTAACTATGGAGCTCTTGAACAACAACGTGGGAAAAGTCAAAGACCCTCCAGTTGCTGCAGAAGAAGATCCTAAAACAACAGGATGTTTTAGAGGAAAGGCACAGATGAGGACATTATGCCCTTACACTGCCAAAAGTCCTTGTCTTTCATCTACCTCATTTCCTTGGCAAGCTGCAGGCGGACTGGAGGATGCAGCACAGATCTGGCACAGCCAAGAGGGATTTTCAGCTCCCCAATTAAAGCAGTGTGTAGGGTCCATCAGATAAGCCAACATCTATGTAAACATCTAGTAGTAGCTACACAGGGGGTAATCAGGCCATCACCTTTGTATTTGTTTATCTGAGGCAGGTCCTTATAGTGATGACTAGAAAATTCCTGCAATGAGCAGAAACACACAAAATGTTGAAGATTTTTTGAAAACACTCATCTTCAATCTGTGAAACTTGCTTCTTGAAAAAGCCTCTCTTTGTGTGAAGAAATCATTTTTCCTCTTATGCTTGCATGTATGCAGTCTTGATCTGACATGACTTGCAACCACAAGAGAGCAATCTTTCCTTTGAAGATTCCTCAGCTTCCCCAGAAAGCTAGAGACATGCCATATAAGTTTTGCAAACTGCTCGTGAGCTGTTTCAGTTAGACCAGAGCAGCCGAAACAACAAAGCTTGCAGTTCTCTTTTGGATTTCATTGTGAAAAGCCTTTGGGTAGTTTTCAGATGACAGAAGATCCTTGGTTCCTGAAAGGGAGGAGTTTTGCCAAAACTTTGAAGATCCCTGTAAACTTTGCAAATTACCCATCTTTTGGAGACAATTATATCAAACGATATTGTGGATTACAATACATGAGAAGTGTTTAGAGCCTGGAAGATTATTTATGTTTGGCATTAACTCTTATGGTCATAATTTCAAGCGGGGAGAAAAGGAATACACAGGAACCCTCTTATTATCTTTTGAAATATGAAGATCAGAGGAAAAGAAGGGTTTAAAGTGTGGAGTGATGGTCCTCAAAACCTGTCTGTAAATTAGCTGGCATCCTACATCTATAAAAACAACGAGGCTTAGAGCTGATTTCCAGGCACAGAGTGGACCTCATGTGTCATTAGCAGTGTTTTGGGATCTGAGTTTTTATACACCGCAGGAGGAAATTGCAGCCTGCGGGGCAGAGTACCTATACAAATGTTTCCTCTTTGCTTGGACTGATACAAGATTTGGAAGCCAAATTCAGGAACTGACATTTCACGGGTGAGGAAAAAAAAGAAGCATGGACAGCCAAAAAGATGATGATGGACTGTTGAACAGGATTGCATTTCCAGGAGCTATGTCCCTGGCTAATAGCCATGTGCATCCTCATGGGGTCCCCCTGAGAGAGTCCTTTGGGGTTCCCTTCCGTCTGGACCCGTCTTACTGGGAGCAAGCCTACGGCGGGCACACAGGTCGCATCTCCTACATCCCATTCCCTGGCTATGTGGGCATCTATGACTATTCCTTTGAGCCTGCCTTCATTCGAAAGAGGAACGAGAGGGAAAGGCAGCGGGTACGCTGCGTGAACGAGGGCTACACACGCCTGAGAGAGCACCTGCCTAAGGAATTTGCTGACAAGCGCCTCAGCAAAGTGGAGACCCTGAGAGCTGCAATAAGCTATATCAAACACCTGCAGAGCTTGCTGGACTGCCATCCCTTAGGGTCTAACAGTAAGGAAACGCTCTCTGCCAAGGAGCTTCCGGAAGCTCCCAGTCCTGCTGCCCCACGGGAGTGCAACAGTGATGGAGAGTCTAAAACCTCTTCAGCTTCATCCCCCTACAGTGAATTTGAGGAGACGGGCAGCTAGGTAACAGCCTCTCTGGAGACAGAAAGCGTCAAGTTCGGCTGAAAACCAGATCTAAAACCCTAGGGATTTTTCTACAAGTGAAAATGAATACCAGGAAAAGGGAAAACAGCTAGGAAAAAAAAAAAAGGTATTTTCAAACTGTCAAAGGACTTTAAATGTTGTCTGTACAAAACCTAAAAAATTATTTGTAAGCAAGCAGGTATGTCTCAGGTTGCTTCAGCTATGTTACGAAACTTTATTTGGATTGTTAAAAATGAAGCAACTTTTGCATTCTAGTTTACATTCAGCTTTTATTCTGTTCATCTATTTTCTTTTGCCTATCACTCAATGAGACAGCAAAAACAAATAAATCCGTTTCAGGAAATTCCTCTACCCTTTCTTCTGCTTCTTCCTGTAAGTTTTATTGCCTGTTTTTCCTGACTGCTAACCTGAGATGCACTGGGCTGCAAACACTTGGATTGGGAAATGTAAGGTTTAGATAAAATTTTTAGAAAACTCACAGAAATACTTCTATTTCTGAAAAAAACAATTAAAAAATATAAATAAGGCTATATTTGGGAATTAATTTCTTTTACGGCATCTTCTAAAGTGAAATAAGCAACTCATACATTGGACACTGGCTATTTGGTGATTATTTGAAGGATGTTTTTCAGGAAAAGAAAATCTGACACTTTCATTCTAATCAATGCTAGGAAGAGGGAAACAGAGTTCTGTAAAACTGCACATTCAAAAGCAAAGCTCCACTCATGATACTGAAAAACGTTGACAGCCTTTTTCCTTCTCTGAAAATTGAGTTTGTGGACAAAATAGTCTTGTGTCTTTTTGGCAGGTCAGCAATTATGTGCTTAGAAATATGTTCCTGTAGTAGTTAGATACTGGTGTGTACAAAAAGGGTATCAGTTTACATCTGCATGAAAATGTAAGTATTTCTCCTTTTGTTTAGAATATTGTATTACTTTTTCAAAGAACACACCCTTTAAAATTAATATCTCAAAATCTATGGAATACCTCTAATTTGGACCATGTCTACTTAAAATAAGAATTTGTCTCCAAATTGCTCTAAAATCTTCCTTTTTCCAAGGACTGATTTAAACAACATTTACCAATGTGCTTAAATCCCATTCTGAATATGGAGTAAACACCTTCTTACCCATACATTTTCCACAGACCTTTCAAACTTTTGCTTTTTTGGCCTCATATTGGTGAAATCATTTTGTATCTTTTCGTTTCCTTCATGTCATGCTGACTGAACCCCTGGAAAAATTCTCGTGTATAAATAAGAACAAATACTGGTCAAATGCCTCAAAACGTGTCCGTAAGTTTCATTTAAATAAAAAATTGACTTAATCCCAGCTGTTGTTTTTTTCACTTTCAACTGATAACAAATGGGACAGCACTGTTTGCAGGAGTAATGAATTTTCAGGAAAAAATAAAGAAAATAAATAGGAAGTAAATATGAACTGCTACCCATGAAACTAGATTTTTAATCTAGATTTTTAAATCTAGATAAGGAGCAGTTTTGTGCTGTCGGCATCTAACAAAAATTATTTGGTATAACAATACTCTGCTGATTTCTAGCAAACTACTTTAACATTTATACACTATTAGCTATGTTTTAGCTATTGGGTGACTGCCTTCAAGTACTTGCAGTCCAAGTCTGGGTCTAGGTATTGCTGGAGCTCTGAGGCAATTATTTTTTATGAATTTACAGCCAATAACCTTGGAAGAACAAATACATTTAGGCAAATTACACACAGTTCAGAAATGGAAAAAGCCTAAATGAATTGTCTAAACAACTTGCTGCAAATTACTCACCCAGCCTGACCATACTGAAGCAGCACTGTTCAAAATGTCAATGGCAGTCACAGGCTTCGTTCTTTATTCTTTATGTGGTAGCCAGCTTCCTTTTCTAATGACTATTTTGTTTTTCTAAGGGCTGTTACTTTTGCAGGGTCCATTTCCCAGACCCAAACTGTCTTAGCTACCTGGACAGTTCTCTCTAAGGATACAGAGCTGAAGCACTCATTTTTGAGTGCGTAAGTATTTACATTTGTTATCTAAGAAGAGGGAGAAAGGCAAGGTAGTGGTCTGAATGTCTGATTGGGATCCATTATTTTTTGGCTTTTTCCTTCCCTTTGCGGTTTCTGACAAGAGATTCAGCCTTTCTCTCTGCCTCAGTTGTGAGATTTCTGGAAATACAGTAGTGCTGCTGGTAACTCTGTCAGTAAGCCTGAATTGCATTTCTCCCTCAAAGCAGAGGTTAAATCTTCGTTATCTGTAAAAAACATACTCTTCCTCAGAGTACCTGAGACAAATTCTGTGAGACGTATAGTTGTTTGTAAAGCACTCTGAAGATGAAAAGCTGTTAATATACATATAATCACAATAAATAGCCAAATGAAACCAAACCACTAAAAATAAAAATTATGAGAATGACTGTTACTTTCTAGGCAGGAGGCATCAGATAATGCCCAAAATAATTTTTTTGGTCAGTTGGTTATCACAGAGATAAGTCCAGGAGCCTCTGATTTCCAAAACCCAGAGAGATGGTACAGCATGCCACCTTCTCCATGATCAGATAGTTAGGCTGGCTGGAAAAGTGGACTAGGTCGTGGCTCTGCTCCCTTTCAGCTTCATCTCATGTGGGATGTTCCTCAAGGGGAGTCTAACCAAGCGGAAAGCATCATTCCCTGGGCCTGTGCTTGGCTGTCGCCGCTGTAGGGTGTCTCTTCCCGTGCGAGACGCAGGTTGATCTGCTGCATGCCTAGATGGGACTGGTTTTGTTGCATACCCTTAAAACTCTGCAGCCAGAACCAAACCTGGATTTTGTGAAATAGTATTCTGGAAAAGACCTTGGGACCTGAAGTCAAGGAGACTGGTTAAAAGTCTGCATTTCAGTAAAACTATAGCTAATTTTTTTAGATTACAAATCTTTAACAGCCCTGGAGATGTTCTTAAAATACCTCCCAATCCAGCTTCAAATGCTGAAGATGCAAAAGCCAGAAAGTCACATGTAGCTTAATTTAATTTTAAAGGAAAATGAATTTGTGGATGAAAAGGAAATTCTGTGGGAAAAATCTGTCACAGGTTGAACCACTCTCCTTAGGAAAATTGTACGTTTTTATTTCTCACGGTTCCCGTTGTCATGCAAACCTCTTGCACATTTTTAGTGCAAGGAAGTAGAAAACAGCTCAGGATTTCCCAAATATGGATCAGTGCTTCCTACAGGCATCAACAAAGGTTTCAAGTGAATGCTACATTTCAAAAGCTTTCTTAAGGTATTTCTGTCTAGACAAAGGTTTTCTTCAAAGCTTCTAAAATGTATCATTATCAGACTTTGAAAGCAGAGAATGATCCATCTTGTCACCCTGAGAATTAAAGTTTTAATAAAATTGTTGACCAGAAGAATTCTCTCCATGTGGCGCAATTACTATTTACAAGAAAGGCGAACACTGATGTCCCTAGGCAACTATGCTACAGCTTTATCAAACTCATGCACACCAAATGCAGACACTTTAATCTTTCTATCAAATGGGAAAAAAACACACATCTGAAGTCTTCCCTCTTCTGCCATTAAATTACAAATCCATTTGCTCCTTGATATTATCAGCATTTTAAAGACGTGTAATCCTGGCCATGGGATTGCTTTTAATCCTCTAATAGCTGTTTAGCTGATTTCTTTGTAAAAGCCCATCCACACTCCTTTCATGTTATATTAGCCAGTGTCAATAACATGGCCAAAGAAAACCAGAAGGCATTGTAGAAGAGTCATATTCAGGGAGTAGAGCAATCAGGGCCAATTTATCTCACTGGAATAAATGAACAGGGAACGTCCACAGAAAAATAAAGAATCTTTGAAAACATTTGCCACCAGCATACTTGGGAAGGAGGCAAAACAAGATCCAAAACATTTTGAAGAGAGACTCAAGTGGTACCAGCAGGAAAGCCCTCCTGAAGTTAGCCAAGGTCAATCACGATAGCTGAGCAAGGTCTTGGTAAGTCTCTCCAAAATAGAGTCTAAGCAAATACAACTTCAGCAGGTGCTCATCATTAGTAACCCTCAGTGTATAGATAAATGGCTACAGAGTAAGAGGTAAATTTGTTCTAGACAAATGGGGAGCAGCAAAATAGTAAGACTGCAGCTATACTTAGCTCTTATGCAAGGCTCTCCATCTGTAGATCTGGAAACCCTGAAAACACAAGATGAGCAACATTCTCCATCAACCTGAAGGTGTGCTTGTAGGTAAAAGTCTACTATAAATGCCCACTCATGTATTTCTCACACAATTTTTACACATTTTTTCTATCTCACTGTGAATGTGTTCACTGATGGAGGAATGGAAAAGTTCTCCAAGTTGCCCTTACTGGGAGAACAAACTAGAGGAGTGAAGGTGTTTCTAAAGGTAGATGTCTCTCCCCATATATCAGTGGATCTCCATACAGTCAATGGTGGATCAAATACAGAGAGGGATCAGGCTAGGATGCTTGTGAAATGAGCACAAACTGCCAAGAACATTTGTTTGAAATTTACAGTGGTCTGGCAAGGTGGCACTGCTCAGAAGATGCCCCAGAGCTGGCTGAAATCTTATGACTCAGCTACCCTGAGCCAAAACCCTGGAAACTCAATAGGAACCAGCATGTTCATTTAGTGTGCTGTGCAAGAGACTGGTAGTGCATTTCAAGAGTGAAAAGGGACATAATTTTTTGTCATTAAAGTGTCCTTTCCGCTCCCCACTCATATCCACATAGTGAGATTATTCCTCTGACCCTGAGGTCTAGGCAGCATAGCAGGCACAGCTAGCTGGTGGGGCAGGGACCCCAGCACCCAGCTGTGCTTGGGTGTCAGTGGGGTTCTGGAGAGGCAGATGATGGCAGGGTGGGAGAAGGGCTGTTAGTTCACTCTGGGAAGGAGATACTTGGTTAGGTGGGTATTCAGGTGGAAGCTACTACTCTCTAAGAATGGGATTCAGCAGGTCCTGTTTCAACATCCATGCTTCAGT